CATGCATTGTAGAAGACTCCATCTTTTGTCTGGAATGTTTATAATTCTTTTATCACCTAAAATACAGCGTTATTCTCAATACAGCTGTATTTAATGCTCTTTCTATGAATTGAAAGGAACTGAATATGTTATAAAGTTCTGGAGCTAACCTCTGCTTGTATACAATGGTAGAAGCTGGTATACCAGTTTTGAGGTCCTGAAAAGTGCCATTTTGTATGCAATACTCCGGGTGGCCGCTCGCTTGTAGTGGCCGCTCGCTAACGTAATCTATCACCGAGCTGGCCAGCTAAAATATCCATACAAAATGCTATTTTTCAAACCATCATATCTCAACGTCCTTGTAGATGCAGATTAAACCATTTGATTCCTAATATTCTTGACATTACTATAATAAGTATTATCAATTTGAAGCCATTTCCTAAGCTAGTTATCAAGATAGTATAAATTACAATGTAATATAGGCGTAAGAGCTGAAGGTGGGTATTAAAAAAGGAGTACAGGTATAATTCGTTTAAAAATTGGCTCACTGGTAGTTTTACTCACTGATAATCTGTTTCTAATGTCAGAAGCTAAGATAGTAAATGAATGTTGAGATATGATGGTTTGAAATATGGCATTTTGTATGGATATTTTAGCTGGCCAGCTCGGTGATAGATTACGTTAGTGGATTACGTTAGTATGTATACAGAAAGCAGTGAAGTACGGCGCTTGGGCACTGAGCAGACCTCAGGCAAAATGGATATCCGTGTCCGACCAAGTTCATATGCAAGAATCACGGATGTATACTCTGTACACTGTGACACATGAAACGCGCCGATTAGCTACAGCGGGGTGACTTTGAAGCCGAGGTTCAATGGCTGATCTGAAGTCAATCGAGCTCTCCCCGCTTATTGATCCTAGGTGGAGGTGGATGTGAATTGCATCTAACTATTCTCAGATTGGTAATAATACTATCCTTCATCCCATCATATTCCCCCAGAGAACCAAAACACAATGCCTTCCCTAGCAAAAATTCACAAACGTCACGCATATGGCAAAGATGCCCATACGTACATTCCCGTCGTGATTATCGGCGCCGGCGAGTCTGGCATTGCCATGGGATGTCGTCTGAAAGAAGCCCTGGGGTTTGATCAGTTCCGGCTTTTCGACAGACAGGCCGGCATTGGAGGGTCTTGGTGGATTAATCGGTATCCGGGAGTTGCTTGTGATATGTGCGGTTGTACTTTTGATACTTGAGACCCCTACTTACAAATATCAGACCGGCGCTTTTATACTCCTTTTCCTTTTCGCCTAAACAGGACTGGTCTACTCTGCACCCGACTGGCCCGGAACTTGCACAATATTTCGCGGATGTCTGTGAGAAATATGGCCTCGTCGACAAGATCCAATTGAATACCGAGGTCGACGAGATCAAGTGGCTGGAAGATGTGGAAGAGTGGGAAGTCACCCTGACGTACCTCGTTCCTGGTACTGGGGATCTAGCCAAGAATGAACGAGATGCCATGGTAGCCAGAGAAGGCCCGCATAGCGTTTATGTCCAGACGGAGAAGGTGCGAGCAAAGGTTGTGGTCAGTGGTGCTGGAGGACTGGTGGAGCCCAAGCAATGGCCTCAAGGTATCCCGGGCATTGAGGGCTTCGAAGGTCAAGTCATACACACTGCCAAGTGGGATAGCAACGTCGACTTTCAAGGGAAAGATGTGGTTGTCATTGGTTCCGGCTGCAGTGCCGCCCAGGTGGTTCCTGGCCTGGCCGAATATCAACCCAAATCAGTGACCCAGGTGATGAGAACTCCCCCTTGGATCCAGCCTGATCTGTTTCCAGAAAAGGGCCTCGAGCTGTGGGAAAGGTGGACGCCTCTTTTGTTTAGCTACATTCCTGGCCTCTCGTACAGTCTCAGAAACGTGATGTTCCTTATGCTTGAAGCGGACTTTCTGGGATGGTTCAAGAATAACCGCTATGCGGAGTGGAAGCGACACTCAACGGAGCAGAAATTCCTCGCGTATATGCGCTCTGCGACCCCTGAAAAGTACCATGAAATCCTCACTCCGAACTACGACTTAGGCTGCAAGCGTCGAGTCGTACGGGGTGAATGGTACAAAAGCCTAAACAACCCAAACTATGAGTTGACAACCATGCGTCTCACAAGCGTTCAGTCCCGGAGCGTCACTCTCGGTCCTGGGAAACATTATCCTCCAGACAGTGCTGAAACGGACGAGGTGAGGCAAGTTCCCGCCGATGTGATCATCCTGGGTAACGGATTCGAAACCAACAACTGGCTGCACCCATTGCGGGTGGTTGGTAGAGAGGGCAAGAGCTTGAATGAAGTTTGGGACGAGCGTGGAGGTGCGCAAGCTTATTTGGGTCTTGCCATGGACCATTTCCCAAATTTCTTCTTTCTCTTCGGACCCAATACTGCGACTGGTCATAACAGTGTGATCTTTGCGAGTGAAAATGCGGTCAATTACTCTTTGAGCTTCATCAAGCCCATCTTGGACGGCGATGTGAGTTCCTACGAGGTCACTGAAAAAGCCGAGAGAGCCTGGGCGGATAAAGTCCAGAAGGGTCTCCAGGGCACTGTGTTCCAAGGAGGAAATTGCACGAGCTGGTATAAGACGGAAGGTGGCTGGAATTCTTCGACTTATCCGTAAGTTCCTACTCTTTCATCCTTCTATTCGTTGGCTAATAAGATGTATAGGTTCACCCAAATTGATTACTATCTCCGATGCACATTCCCTGTTTGGCGGCACTGGACAGCGAAGTATACTCCAAGAGGAAGATGGTTGCATAGAATCCGTTCTGCATTCAAACACTTGGCCCTCACAGCATCTCTTTCTGGTGTTGTCTGGTTCAGCCTGCATCCCAGAGATTTCAGACATTGGGCTGGGCTCATTCCTGATGCTCGGGCTTCAATTGTTTCTGCAGTTCGGGACGGTCTTGTGCGCACAGCCCAGATGCTCGGCTGATATGTTTGCATGTATATAATCTTGGATCAATAGTAGTCTTTCAATGCAAAGAATCATCGCCTGTCCATGTAGATGTTTGTATTACTTTTCTCTGATTGGCCCGGCTTAATCTGGGGAAACGGAAAAACCCCGCGCGCCTGCGAGGAATGTCTCCGCACTTCATCGCCGTTTGTTCCCCAGACTCCAGTCTAATCTCTCCCCAAACCACCCATCGCGATGGAGTCAGAGTCACCTCAGATGGATACGACGGCGTCCCAGACGGGAGCCAGTCAGACAACTGCTGGACAGGACGAAACCGGCGCGAAGAGGAAGGCGGAACAGCAAAACGGAACATCCACGCGCACTAAGCGGAATCGCTACATTTCTATTGCCTGGTATGATCTCCGGACTACTGATGTGCCTGGTATATTAGAGGATGCAAGAGTGGCATGATGCTGATGGTTTGGCCAGTAATGAGTGCAAGCGGAGGAAGATCAAGTGCAATGGGCAAGTGCCGTGTCAGCGCTGCGGGCACTTGGATCTAGAATGTCAGTGTGCCGTGATAAGGAATCGCGGAATATGTGAACTGATTGATGTCTGATAGGTCGATATGCGCCGAATTGCTGCAACAATAATTTCAAGGATTCCGAGTACGTGGTTTCGTTTCCTGCTCTGACCGGTTGCTAATATGCGCAGGGAATTCCGGTCTATGAAGGACCAAATCACCACCCTGCAAGATCAGGTTAATAGCTTATTTATCAACTTGAATGACCTCCGCACACAGCAGAGGACATCTCTCGACCCCCCGAATTTCGATGCTTTATCTCGTGAAGGATCACAAGTCTTCACGCCTTTGCAGCACGGTTCGGTTAGACCGCGTGCCAGACACCCCCGGTTCCAGGGCCCTACGAGCTCTGCGTTCAATTTCGACGTTGCGAGGTCAAGTCTCCAGGAAATGGGTATCGCCGCACCAGCAGAAGATGGGATAGCCGATGACTTGACGACCGCTCATGCCACGCCTGCTGTCTCGCCTCCATTACATCCGCCTCCGCCGTCACAGTTGGCACCGGTTTCGAATACCATCCATCCATCGAAGGATCCGATATGGAGTATCAAGCGGGAAGAAGCGTTACGGCTATGTAGGGTCTATGAGGAAGAGATCGGGATCATGTATCCCCTTGTGGATATCGGGAAAATCACTCAGCAAGTGAACCTATTATACACGTTTATGGAGGCTGCGATGCGGACGGGATTTGCGCAGCGTGGGCTACCAGGATCTGACGGTCTTCAGGATGATAACACCAATATACTTAAGATGATTCTTGCAACCACCCTTGTCGTGGAAGGGAGTGGGCAGAGCGATCTCGGTTTGCGGCTGTATTTGAGCATGAAGCCGGTTGTCGATTCCAAGTTCTGGGAGCCTTTGGATATCAGAACTATTCAGCTATATGGCTTGGTGGTGAGTGGCATATCCCTCCCCCCCCCCCCCCCCCCATCTTCAACTAGCACAAGCTAAGATTTAGGCAACGTATCATTTCCATACGGACGACGATGCCATGGCTTACCGTGTGATCGGTCTTACGGCTAGGATGTGTCTTGAATTGGGACTACATCGACGAGATGCGTTGAAGAAATCATTCCCCGACGACCAATGGTCTGATGTCAGCAAGATCTTCTGGTCTATCTATATCTTGGATCGACGGTGGAGTTTGGGCACAGGGTTGCCGTTTGTGATTCAGGATGAGGATATTGATTCTAATTTGCCGGAGCCGGTACGTCGTCTGATTCTTTTACTTAATGCATTGCTAACAGTCGAAGGACTCATCGTTGCCATACCTGAGGTCTATGGTTTCTTATAATCGAATTGGCTCTAAGATCTGGTACTCCGGACTAGGTTCCGAAGGCTCTACGGACATTCGACGTGATGAGATTGGTTATCTTGACTACCAGATTCTGCAATGGTACAAAAACGTACCAGATGCGTTGAAATTCTACCCATTCGACTCCCCGAAGCACGGAGAATCCGCAAGTCGAGGCCTCCGCCGTCTCCGTGTACTGCTATATCTGCGCATGAACCAACTTCGAATCCTCATATATCGACCTGTCCTTCACTCGCTGGCGAGTATCGCAGAGGACCAGAGCCACGCTCAGACAGTAATCGACGTCGCCAAAGACACTGTCAGGGTACTGACCCGCCTCAACCAAACATCCGACATCTACCGCACGCAACAAATCTGCTTCAACTACTTCCTCGTCGCTGCGCTGGCAGTACTCTTCTTAGCCGTATGTCACGCACCCACCGAATTCAACCGCCAGGTACGGGATGAATTCTACATGGCCCTAGACCTGCTCAATGGCTTCAGCACCAAATCCTACGTCTCCAAACGGCTCTGGAAAACCATCAAGGGCCTTCGAACTATCGGCGAGAAACTGGGCGTACTGGCGCGTCCGTTTGCTTCAGACTCCAATGACCCTCATTCAACAGCTGCTGTCGCGATGGCCGGGTTGGCTGGTCATTCCATAGAAGATCTCTCGATGTATGGGTCCATGAATGGGGCACACGAACTGGGAAACAGTCCGTTGAACGGGCTGCAGATGAGCCACGAGCTTACGAATCTGTTTGAGGCAGTCGGAGGATTCGGTAATTTCATGGGGCCGTCTGGGACTGGGGCTATGAATGAGTTTGGGCATAATGGGGAGATTTCTAATACGGGAGAGGGACTGTCGGGGGTGCTGGGGGATGAGGGGGAATTTGCACGAGTAATACGAGATTTGTTCTAGACATGTCTTTCTATCAATTGACGACTATTCAGATAGGATGATGTTGGAACTTCACTGTATTTCTAGTAGGCCAGTGCTCACGTGACACGCCCACTTCGCACCACCGCTCCGTCCAGACAACCGCCATTTATCTCAGCGAAACCAGTTGTCTGGCGGCCACGAGTGTTTATTATCTTTGATCTGGTCTGTTGAGAAAGGGCTCATCTACTAAGTGTTGATTGTCTTTTTCTTCTCCAACGACACCGATCTCCTCATACCGCTCCCCTCCCCTCTGTCTCATCTCGATCCGTTACCGAACCCCTCAAAAACAGACAGAGGGACACCAGTCGAATTATTCGATGTCACTGTGAGAGGAACTACATTGGTCTAGCTTGGATACTCGAGGGTACTTGTTGAATGTCGCCGTGAAATCCAACCCGTGCCTGTTAGTGGGGAATTCAGTCCCCAAGCCAGCCCATCGCACAACCAACGCAGTGTCATGATTTTCGCATTCATTCAATAAACCAAAGCAACATCTACGCTATCTACGCCTGATAACGACCTCAAATCTCCCTCGATATCGTCTCTTGCGTGTGTGTAACAAACAGCGCGCAAGGACTCGAGCAATCGAATCCAACAACACCACTTCGCCTCTTTTATCTCCCCCCCCTAGCTCCAACGTGTCGAGAGAGACAGGTTCGGCGTTGGCCGACGGCCTAGACAGGCTGGATCTGAGTCAACTGTCTGAATCGACCCTTTCGTCGTCCGAAACCACGTCCGCCTCGTTCGATATGTCGTCGTCGGAGGGTGCCCCGGAGTCGTGGATCTCGTCCTTCTGCTCGCTCATGGGCCACGAGTTCTTCGCGGAGGTGTCGGAGGATTTCATCGAGGATGACTTTAACCTCACGGGCCTGCAGTCGCAGGTGCCCATGTACAAGGAGGCGCTGGAGATGATTCTGGACGTGGAGCCGGAAGATGACGAGGACGAGGACGAAGAGGAAGAAGAGGAGGACGATGAAGAGGATGAGATTCTGGGCGATGAGAAGCCTCCTGGTTATAGAGGGGGGCAGCGACGACATGCGCGCGTCGCGAGCGATCTAAGCGTGATCGAGAGTTCCGCGGAGCTGCTGTACGGCCTTATCCATCAGCGCTACATCACCTCGCGACCGGGTATCCAGCAGATGCTGGAGAAATACGAAATGCAGCATTTCGGCGTGTGTCCCCGCGCAAACTGCAACGGCTGTAAAGTTCTCCCCGTCGGCCGCTCCGACACCCCCGGCCAGGAAACTGTCAAGCTCTTCTGCCCCAGCTGCCAGGACCTGTACACGCCTCCCAACAGCCGCTTCCACTCCGTCGACGGCGCGTTCTTCGGCACGACCTTTGGCTGTTTGTTCTTCATGACCTTCCCGGACCTGGACATCGGGCCCCGTCTCGACGACCCCATTACTCCCGCGCTGCAACAACGCTACCCGGGCCTGACTGCGTCTGCGGCTTCGCGCGAAAATGACAATCAACAATTTGAGATCAACGGCATGCGGACCGCGAACTTCTCCCCGGGCCTGGGACCGGGTAAGATTTACGAATCGCGCATCTATGGGTTCCGCGTCTCGGAGCGGTCGCGGGTCGGTCCGCGGATGAAGTGGCTGCGGATGAAGCCGACAGACATTAGGGAACTGGACGAGATGGCCTTCGTCGAGACCTTGCGGCGGCGGAATGAACAGATCGCAGAAGAGGAGGGCGACGAGGAGGAGGATAGCGATACAGAGATGCAGGCGGCGCCGGCGTCGAATACGATCGAGGGGAGGAAGAAGGCGCCGATACGACGGCGACGAAAGGTGTTGGGGGAGTAGAGGGAATAAAATGTCATTTTTCTTGATTCATTCATGTTCTGTGTTCAATTTATCTACTGAAATTATTCTCTTCTTTGTGTCTTTTTTTTTTTTTTTTTTTTTTTTTTTTTTGTTGTTAACTCTAACTGCATAGAGGCGTAAGTCAATAATCAGCATACAAATAGTCTTCCATACTAGTTTCTGCCTTTTTTTTTTTTTTCTGTTGTTAACTCTAACTGCATAGAGGCGTAAGTCAATAATCAGCATACAAATAGTCTTCCATACTAGTTTCTGCCATAATCACTCTAAATCTCTCTTTTTTTTTTTTTTAAAAAAAAAAAAAAAATTATTATTATGGAGTTAGTACTGGTAAGACGAAATAAACTAAAACTGAATGCTGACGATCCAGTCTCTCGGGGCAGTCCCTACTCC